AACGCAGCTTCTGTCTCTGGAGTTGGCTCTCACTTGCAATGACAGTGCTGGAAAACCCCAGGCCCAGCACACTGTCTGAGACCTGGAAACTCGTACCAGCATCAGGCTGTTTAGGAGAAGAAATAAGCGGGGGAGGAAAAGACCGCACGGGGGCAGGAGAGGACAAAGTCTCACATCTCAGGTCGGGGTTGGAATTTAGCCAGAGCCGGTGGAGAGGTGCTGGTGTCGTCTGGGTCCCCTGCTCTGGTCTGCTCAGGACATCTCTCAGGGGTCAGCTGAAGAGGTGCCTGCAGACGGTGGGGGTGGCCACGGTGACGGTGAAGCTCGCGCCTTCCCCGCCTCTCGTCTTGCAGTCCACCAGCATGGCCGGAGCCAGTTTCCCCCAAAGGTTCCTTTTGAGAGCCCCCAAAGGGGTGATGGGCAGAATAGCTCAGCCCCTCAGTATTTCCTTCACCAGTCAGGCCTAGTTTCCGACACACCAATTTTGGTCGATTGATTTCCAGTCCCACACTTCTCTCATGTACCAGGCAGGTTCCTAACATGGCTCTTGGGTTGTAGCAGGAGCCTTTCTGCTGGACTAACTCAGTCTGTGTGACACGTGTGCCCCTTTTCCCCACCGCCGTTTGTTGTGATCGGTTGTTGTGACACCGCTTGAACTTCTGCTCCTGTCCCACAGTGGGGCTCACAGCTAAGGTCACTGGAGAGGCCCAGTGATCACAAGAGGGGGCACAGGCCTCGTTGGGGCAGGTGGGATTGGGCTGAGCTGGGCTGCACTGGAGTGGGGGTGGGGAGAGCTGCGAAGGGCGGTACCGACAGGGTGGAGCTGGTTCAGCCTGGGTGATCCAAATGGGGAAGGGGGTGGGGGAAAGCAGAGTCTCACCTTATGGCTAATGCTGAGGGCATCTGGGCTCAAGTCCCTGTTCTGCAACTGACTCCACATGTGACTGTGGGCAAGTTACTGCCCTGTTCCATGCCTCAGTTTCTCCAGTCTGTGAAATGGGGATGCTGCTGCTGGCCTGGTTCCCATGGGATTCGTTCATTAATGTTTGTAAAGGGCTTTGACCTCTTGGTGTAAATCAGCAAAGCTCCATTGACCTCCGTAGACTACCCCAGGTGCAGATCTGGCCCTGTTATTTTCTGAAGGAGGGGCAAGCGAGGGCTCTGCTTTGCACTTTAGAATCATAGAATCCTAGAGTATCAGGGTTGGAAGGGACCTCAGGAGGTCATCTAGTCCAACCCCCTGCTCAAAGTAGGACCAACCCCAACGAAATCATCCCAGCTAGGGCTTTGTCAAGCTGGGCCTTAAAAACCTCTAAGGATGGAGATTCCACCACCTCCCAAGGTAACCCATTCCAGTGCTTCACCACCCTCCTAAACAGTTTTTCCTAATATCCAACCTAGACCTCCCCCACTGCAACTTGAGACCATTAGTCCTTGTTCTGTCATCTGCTACCACTGAGAACAGCCAAGCTCCATCCTCTTTGGAACTCCCCTTCAGGTAGTTGAAGGCTGCTATCAAATCCCCCCTCACTCTTTTCTTCTGCAAACTAAATAACTCCAGTTCCCTCAGCCTCTCCTCATAAGTCATGTGCCCCAGCCCCCTAATCATTTTTGTTGCCCTCTACTAGACTCTCTCCAATTTGTCCACATCCTTTCTATAGTGGGGGGCCCAAAACTGGACACAGTACTCCAGATGTGGCCTCACCAGTGCCGAATAGAGGGGAATAATCACTTCCCTTGATCTGCTGGCAATGCTCCTACTAATGCAGCCCAATATGCCGTTAGCCTTCTTGGCAACAAGGGCACACTGCTGACTCATATCCAGCTTCTCGTCCACTGTAATCCTCAGGTCCTTTTCTGCAGAACTGCCGCTTAGCCAGTCAGTCCCCAGCTTGTAGCAGTGCATGGGATTCTTCCGTCCTAAGTGCAGGACTCTGCACTTGTCCTTGTTGAGCTTCATCAGATTTCTTTTGGCCCAATCCTCCAATTTGGCTAGGTCACTCTGGACCCTATCCCTACCCTCCAGCTTATCTACCTCTCCCCCCAGCTTAGTGTCATCTGCGAACTTGCTGAGGGTGCAATGTATCCCATCATCCAGATCATTAATGAAGATGTTGAACAAAACTGACCCAAAGACAGACCCCTGGGGCACTCCGCTTGATACCGGCTGCCAGCTAGATATTGAGCTGTTGATCACTACCCATTGAGCTTGACGCTCTAGCCAGCTTTCTATCCATCTTAGAGTCCATTCATCCAATCCATACTTTTTTAACTTGCTGGCAAGAATACTGTGGGAGACCGTATCAAAAGCTTTGCTAAAGTCAAGATATATCACATCCACTGCTTTCCCCATATCCACAGAGCCAGTTATCTCATCATAGAAGGCAATCAGGTTGGTCAGGCAGGGAGTCTGTAGTTCCCCGGGTTCTCCTTCTTCCCTTTTTTAAAGATGGGCATTATATTTGCCTTTTTCCAATAGTCCGGGACCTCCCCCGATCACCAGGAGTTTTCAAAGATAATGGCCAATGGCTCTGCAATCACGTCAGCCAACTCCCTCAGCACCCTTGGATGCATTGGATCAGGCCCCATGGACTTGTGCATGTCCAGCTTTTCTAAATAGTCCTTAACCTGTTCTTTCACCACTGAGGGCTGCTCACTTCCTTCCCATACTGTGTTGCCCAGTTCAGCAGTCTGGGAGCTGACCTTATCTGTGAAGACCGAGGCAAAAAAGCATCGAGTACTTCAGCTTTTTCCACATCATCTGTCACTAGGTTGCCTCCCCCATTCAGTAAGGGTCCCACACTTTCCCTGTCCTTCTTCTTGTTGCTAGCATACCTTCTTGTTACCTTTCACATCCCTTACTAGCTGCAACTCCAGTTGTGCCTTGGCCTTCCTGATTACACCCCTGCATGCTCTAGCAATATTTTTATACTCCTCCCTAGTCATCTGACCAAATTTCCTCTTCTTGTAAGCTTCCTTTTTGAGTTTAAGCTCACCGAAGATTTCACTGTTAAGCCAAGCTGGTTGCCTGCCATATTTGCTATTCTTTCTGCACATCGGGATGGTTTGTTCCTGCGCCCTCAATAAGCCTTCTTTAAAATACAGCCAGCTCCCCTGGACTCCTTTCCCCCTCATATTAGCCCCCCAGCAATGCCTCCAGCCCCAAGCTCCCTGCCCAGTGTAGGAACCCTGGCGCCTGCCAAAGCACTTGGATGGGTGCTGGAGACAGGCTGGTGAGCTTGCCAAGGTTCCAGGAGTTTAACCCCTGGCAAACACACAGGTTCTGCCACCTCCTTTCGTGATCTTATCTCCCCTGTCCAAAGCATTCCTGTTGGGCTCAGTCAGTGAGTGTCCATGGATAGAGAGCAGAGCTCCACAGAGACAGAGGGACGGGGGAAGGGGCGGGCAGGTCTGCAATGCACCATTCCCCATCCTTGCTGCCCGGCTGAGCTGGGGGTGCGGCTCAGTGCCAGACTTCTCGGCAGCTCTGCCCTGGCCCTGCAGTGCACTCCGCACCCCCCTCTGGATCCCACCCTCCAGTCGTCCCCACATGGGGGTCTTTAGTTCCCCACACGTGCCCCAGAATCCTTTGCAGCAGCATCTCTGAGGAGTGCCGGGTCAGCCAGCGGCAGGCAGGGCTCTGGAATCTGCTGCTTTTGGAGGCTCCTTGGCTGCCTCTGCAGTTGGTGGAACTGAACTGGGGGGGTCCCTTTCAGGGGTGGGAGCGAGATGGGCAGACGGAACTGAAGGAGGGTGTCGGGCTTGGGACTGTCTCACTGGAGATGCCGCGTTAGGTGTGAAGCTCTACGGTAGGGGGCCGCCCCCACAGCGCAGGCCTAAGGCAGCCCCAGTGCCAGGCCACAGGGCTCTTCATGCCAGCCCGAGGGAGATTCCCATGCTAGCCTAAGGAGGGACCCAGTGGCAGTGGTCTGCCAGCGGGGTAGTGTGTCCCTGGGACCATCTGGCAGCCTGTCTATGCACCTGTCTGGGGTTCCCATTCTATGCCAGGGGGCTGAATGAGCCTTCCAGGTCCCTGCTGCGGCACGGTTGGGTGCGTGGCCATGGATCCCAGCCGCCCTCGGGGGAGCAGCTACTGGGCCCTTTCCTACTGTCAGCTGTGGCCTGCACTGCCGAGCTGCCTGCCTGCCCCGGAGTTATCATCCCACCACAGCTGCCCGTGCTCCCCTTGCTGGCACCCGGCCAGCGCCATGACCCTGGCTATTGAAACCAGCCACTGTCCATAAAAGCACATCAAAGGGTTTGGACACACTAGGTTCCAGGTACAAGGAAAATGTGACGTACAGTCCAGAGCCCATACGTATTGACAGGTTCCTTCCGCACGGCGCTGGTTCAGTGACTGGAGCTGGGATCCTCCCCTGTGAGACACTTCCGCTGGCAGAGTCTCTCCTCTGTGATGAACAACATTTGGGGCCATTTTCCCTCCTCGTATAGCCCGAGGCTCTTGTCTCTGTTCATAATCAGGGTGTTTCATTAGCTGCAGCTCAGTCCTGATGGGCCCCTATTCAGCGTTTCTGTGGGGGATGCTTTGCGCTGCACAGTCTCCAGACTAGGCATAGGGCTGGGTCGGCTCCGCGCATGCCCGCGGTTCTCAGCATTGAGCCAGCTCTGAGACCCCCTGCTGCAAGTGACCCGGTTCACTTCCACGGGTTTGGAACCCAGGATCCTCCATGTGACATAGTCCGAACATCCAGCCACAGGCCAGCAATCAACTGGTGCTTAGCTTTCGGCAGAGATCCCCCCCCCCTTTGGTGAAATATTGGGGGATGGTCAGACACGTGCCTGATTGTGTCTGTGTCATTCTGGGCCCTCCCTTCCTTGTCCCCAGGAGACAGTTTGGGGAGATCCCCGGGGATTGGTTCAGGTGTGTTGACCTGGCTCTCCAGGCTCTCCCTGGTGGTGATCGGCCCCAGGCAGCATATGTTCTCAGGGAGCCCAGGGAAAGGTCCAAGCTAACTCTCCCTCTCTCTGTCTCCTGGCAGGATGGGAGCGTTCACGTTACATTCCAGAACAGGGAAGCCCACACCGTCCGTCTCCAACGGGTGAGTCACACAGCTTCACCGGCATCTCCTCCTGCACAGGCAGCCCCGCAGGGAGGCAGTGTTTAGAGGGGTCTTTGCCCTGACAATGCCCCAGTCCCATGGCTAGAGACACCACACATTCGACACCAGCACTAGGACAGCATGAGACTGTCCCCCCCCCAGTGGCTGGGCACAGAAGAGATTTATGGGTCCGTTGCTGCTCCTAGGTGCCAGGCCTGGTCATTTCACTGAACCAGGCCCCCCTCCTGCACCATCAGCCCCGCTGACAGCCCCGAGTTCAAACCTCCCTGTCGACCCAGCAGGGCCTGTTATTAACAGCACCATCGCGATGTCACGCAAGGCCTGACGTTATGGCCACTGTGAGGGCTGAGCCCTGCAACACCTGGCCCTGAGTTCTGCTCTCTTCCGGACGGGGCTAGTCCTGCCAACGCCCTCTGACAGCCTAACTGTGACGGGGTCATTTTCAGAAGGGATGTGAAAGTCCGCTGGACTTGTGCTCCTAAAGCCCTTCAGAGTTTCTGGCCATCTCCCCTAACATCACCCTGACACCCCAGGGCCTTTACTCCCCAAAAGCTGCTACAGGAAGACAGGATAGGTCTGTGCCGTGTGTCCCCCCAACCCTCCCCGCAGCTGCTGAAATAGGTTTGAATGTGGCAAGCCCAGCTGACCCCCACTCCGTGCTCCAGGGACAGCCTCCCCCAGGGGGCCTGGAGGGAACGTCCTCCTCGATCCCACACCTGGGGGTCAGCCTGACCCAGAGATGTGAGCTACGCTCACTAGTCCTGACCACGATCGGCAGCAATTTGGCGGCAGCTCTAGGGCTGCTTCATTCTATGGCGGCAATTCGGCGGGAGGTCCTTTGCTCCCAGAGGGAGTGACGGCCCCGCCACCAAATTGCCGCCGAACTGCCGGACGTGCCGCCCCCCTCTTCATTGGCCGCCCCAGGCACCTGCTTGCTATGCTGGTGCCTGGAGCCGGCCCTGGTGATGGGAGGGGGAAGGTTTTCAGCGTATTGTCGAGCAAACTCTGAGGCTTGGTCTACACTGCGGAGTTAGGTTGACATCAGGTAACTTACATCGACCTAATTATGGCAGTGTACACACTACAGCCTTGCGCCCGCCGATGTAAGTGCCCTACTACACCGACATCATAACTCCACCTCTGTGAGAGGAGTAGCCCTTATGTCGGTGTAGTTAGGGCAACGCAGTGTCCATGTTGGCTGTCATTTTTGTCGATTTCATGTCTCCATGCTGGAGCTGTGAAATTGACAAGAAAACCAGGCTGTCACCAGGGCGGGAGGGGGGGCTCCCAGCTCCCAATCCAGCTGCTGCATGGAGGCTCCCCCACCACTTCCCACCAGGCGCCCAGCGGCTTCCCAGAGGCTTGCCTGGACTCCGGGCACAGAGCTCACAGCTGGGATCCCAGGGGCAGCTGGGCTCTCAACCCCCCCCCCCCCCACTGCCTCTCTTCAGTCGGTGGAAGCGCTTCTGGTGAGCACACGCACCCCTGCCACAGGGAGGGTAGTGTGAACATGCACCACTGTAGTATTTACTGCGGTGGCTGTAAGTTGACCTAACATAGGTAGACTTAAGTTTCTAGTGTAGACATGCCCGGAGAGTGGGGGTTTTAGAAGCGCCCAGCACTGACCTAACTCTGCTCCCATTAGATTGTCAGCTATTTGGGGCAGGGACCCTCGTTGTGTTCTCTTTGTACAGAACCGAGCACAGTCATGACCCGGTCCATGACATAACAACACTGGAGTCAATGCTCAGAATGCCCATTGCATTCAGTGGGAGCAGAGCTAGGCCAGCGCTGAAGGGGTTGGATAAATCCAGCCGAATAGCCCAAGTCTTTAAAACAGGCCGTACCTCCAGTTGTTTATCTGGGTAAGGATAAAAGGATGATGCCTTGGTAGTGGTATGCTACAGACACCTAACCAGGAAGAAGAGGTGGATGAGGCTTTTTATAAACAACTAACAAAATCATCCAAAGCAGAGGCGCTCACTTTTATTTTTCCCCGTGGGAGTTCCACCCCCACTCCGCCCCTTCCCCCTAGGCCCCGCCTTCATTCCACCTCTTCCCGCCCCCACTCCTCCCCTTTTCCCGAGGCCCTGCCCTCGCTCCACTTCTTCCCCCCCACTCTGCCCCCTCCCCCGAACCTCCACCAACCCATCGCTCGCTGCTCTCCATTCTCCCCCAAGCACCTCCTGTGGCTGGTGGATGCTGAGCCCTGGAGCACCCACGGAGTCGGCGCCTATGATCCAAAGCACAGGACGTGGTGGTGATGGGGGGGACTTCAACTACCCAGAAAATAACACAGCAGGACACAGATTATCCAGCAAGTTCTTGGAATGCAATGGAGAAATTTTTTATTTCAGAAGGTGGAGAAACAAATAGGGAGGAACTGGTTGAGAATTTGAAAGTGAAAGGCAGCTTGGGTGTAAGTGATCATGAAATGGTAGAGTTTGTGATTCTAAGGAATGATAGGAGGGAAAACAGCACAGTAAAGACAATGGATTTCAAGAAGGCAGACTTTAGTAAACTCAGCGGGAGTTGGTAGGTAAGACCCCATGGGAAGCAAGTCTAAGGGGAAAAACAGTTCAAGACAGTTGGAGGTTTTTCAAGGAGACATTATTAAGGGCACAAAAGCAAACTATCCCATTTTGTCGGAAAGATAGGAAGTATGGCCAGAGACCACCTGGCTTAACCAGGAGATCTTCAATGATGTGAAACTCATAAAAAGAGTCCTACAATAAGTGGAAACTAGGTCAAATGACAAAGGATGAATACAAACAAATAACACAAGTATGTAGAGAAGCCAAGGCACACAACGAGACTTAACTAACTAGAGCCTCTGTAGAATCAGGTTCCTCTGGTCTCCTGAGGCCCGGCAGGCCTTTGAACAATTAAAATTCACATTTACCACTGCTCCCATATTGGCCCACCCTGAGGCCATGCCAGCCTTCATCCTCAAGGCAGATGCTTCCAATGTGGCAATTGGAGAGGTGCTCAACAACTACTATCTCCAAGCACCTTCTACTCCAGGGAACTCACACCGGCAGAGCAAAATGATGGGATTTTGGACAGAGAACTCCTGTCAATTAAGAACACTTTTTGAAGAGTGGTGCTACTATCTAGAAAGTTCCTGGTATCCCCTGCAGGTGTACACTGACCATAAGATCTTTGAATGTCAGTGTAGGGCCATGGCTGTTAACCAATGTTGTCTTCGGTGGACCTTATTGTTTACACATTTTAATTTCATAATCTCCTATTGCCCAGGAACCAACCATAGCTTTGTCCTGGAAGGGCGAATATTACACTCGCCAAAATGACTTGAACTGGAAACCTCGTACATCCTCACACCTCATAACTTTCTGGGTGCAGCTCCCCGCCAAGATCTGCTCCCCCTCAAAAGATCAGCCTTGATCTATTGGATCCCACCAGTCAAACAGGAAGCCATAAGTAGGGAACCCCACGATGTCTGAGACAGGGTAACCTACGTAAAGGGGCATATATATGTTCCCCCCAGGCCTTCAAGGACTGCAGCACTACAGGTATGCCATGACTTCCCCTGGCAGGACATTTTGGTCACTTCAACACTCAGCGGTTCATCT